TAAGAAAGGTTATAGGTACAGCTTTATCATGTAGCAGGATTCCTGCTGGCAATTTTCTATGCTAAATATCCTGTCAAATACTGTTTGACTTTCACCAACCTGCCAATAGAAAGAGTTTCTTGGACAAAAATAGAGCACCTCCCTGTCTTCCTGTGGCTATATACACAAGGTGTGAAGCCTCCAACCCTCCACATGTTTGATAGTCATTTATGCACAAATATTTATTAAGCTCAGGCTCTGGAAAGGAACAAAACAAAGACTTCATCCTCAAGTACATTTCATCGTAGCATGAAAAGCAGCTAGTAAATAAGAAAACACACACTATCATGGTAAGTAGCTCTAAGTGCATTAGAAAAAAAAAGAACAGGTAAAGGAGCAGAGAATGGTGGAGGAGAGTGTCCCTATTTTAAGGAAGGTGTAAAGGAAACCCTCTCTCAGGTGAAATTTGAGAATAGACACAAATGAAGTGGTATCTGGTGGAATAGTGCCCTGGTTTCAACATCACATAAAACGCCTGACTTTGGGAGCTTGGGGCTAACTCTGCTGCCGCAGTAAGTAGCATCTCAGCTTTAGTTTTTTCGAGGAATCCAACTGTCTAAGGGGGCGTGAAAAGAGGGAAAGTAGGAAATTCAAAGTAAGTGGACTACATAGTGAAAAATAATAGAAACCTATATATTCTAAATGCTTTTTTATCATTGTGAAAGGAACACAAAAGAAGTAAGTGCCATTCTTTAATATAGCTCCCCCCATACTGATGTCCACAGAAAGTATCAGGGCATGAGAGCACACTTGTTACAAGACGGGTTTGGATGCTCATCGTAACTTGATTGGAACCCAAGTTCTACAAGTTCTACCACTCACTAGCTGTGTTCCCCCCCCCCCGGCCATTTTCCATTTGTTTTTTGTTTGAGGTGAAATATACATATTTAATTTACCATCTTTACCACTGTAAATGTATAGTTCCGTGGTAATAAGTCCATGTGGATTCTTTCTTCCCTTCATCCTCTGTCTCCCCTTCTCCTTCGTGGTCTCTAGTTACTAGCTGTATTTTTTTTCTAACCTTTCAAACTTTACTTTTCTCATCTTTAGGGGGGGCACAATGATCCTCCCACATAGGGGTTTTAAGAATATAATGAGACGACACATTTGATGTGCATAGTATAATGCAAGGCACATATGAGAAGGGCAAAAATGTGACATTTATAACATGTTAATATAACCATAAATGTATTATATGGCAGACATGTAATAAGATATAAGCAATTAGGCTAATGAAAACATCATTTCATAACATGGCTTTAAGATAACTAGTCATTTCAAATGACTTCTATTTAGCTTATAAAAGAGCTCCTTATCATTGTAATCTCGATACTTTGAATGCTTTGTTTGCTGTAATAAGATATAAGGCTAGCACTGATCCAAATCTATCAAAACATGAATGTAATACCAAGGTCCACAACTATGCCAGTAGTAATGGCAGAAAACCAAGGGACAGAGACTTCCCTGTATGTTGAAACCCATGGAAAGATATTCCTGCTTGTGATCCATGAAAGGGCATTTTGTCCAGGAAAAGTAAAATTTATTTAACAAATGTCCTTTCCCAGGAGCAGAGAGGAGTGTTTTCCTCTCTCCTCAGATCCTCGGCAATTGCCTCGGTTCAAACCACAAAGGTGCTCTATGCATGAAGAATCACAACTGTGCTCTTCTGTAGAGGCTGCAAATGACAAAAGGAAATGAATGGCTCAGGGAAGGAAGCCCGGTACAAAGGGAGACACTGCCATTCCTGTAACACTCAATCACAGATGCCACTAGCAGGATGCGGGCATCACCGGGGGACCCCAGGCGTCTGGGTTCAAAGCCTGGGGAAGGAAAGGTCCCAGGCGTAACACAGGATGATTCGTCATTATGACATCTAGAAGGAAAAGGGGTCAGCCAGACCATAAAAGGCCGATGTTGTTGCCAACTCCACTCATGTTCAATCTGTTAACATGTTCACGATCACAGTGGTCTTTCTTTATGGGGTGGGTGGAACAGATTGCAGTATTTCATAGGTGGGAAGAATGCAGGTGCAAGAAGCACCTCTGTTAACAACAGGTGGAAAAACGACAGACCTAACCTCCCAGGATGAAGAAAGCCACACAGGCTTAGGTAACAGAGATTGAGCTGCCCTGGTGTGACAGGCACCGTGCGGGTACGTTGTGCTCAGTACGTTATCATCGTCATGGAAACCCTGAGGTCCATGCTGGCATCATCTCCATTTCACAGATGATGTAATCAAGACCATGAGGGTCACTTAGCCACTGAGCAGCCTGTCTAAGGCCAGAGACTGTAATCTCGAATGGCTTCCAACTTTCCTGTCTAATTAGGGGTAATCTATGGATTTAGGCAAGATCTAAGGATTTAGGCGCGATGGCACTCCAGGAGGCTGAGGTGGGCGGATTGCTCGAGGTCAGGAGTTCGAAACCAGCCTGAGCAAGAGTGAGACCCTGTCTCTACCATAAATAGAAAGAAATTAATTGGCCGACTAAAAATATATAGAAAAAATTAGCCGGGCATGGTGGGGCATGCCTGTAGTCCCAGCTACTCCGGAGGCTGAGGCAGGAGGATCGCTTGAGCCCAGTAGTTTGAGGTTGCTGTGAGCTAGGCTGACGCCACGGCACTCACTCTAGCCTGGGCAACAAAGCGAGACTCTGTCTCAAAAAAAAAAAAAAAAGAACTAGATAGAGAAAAATTCCTAGTAAGTTGCTGCTATGAAAATAGGAGGAAGAGATTAAATAAAGGATAAAAACAAGTAAAAGCTAAATATGTAAAGTGAATTAGTGAAAGTTTTGATATAAGAAACATCAACTAGGAAAAAGCAAAGTGTATGACCCCATGAGAGGATATTAACATTTAGTCCTGGTGTCCAATTTCCCTTGCAAGTTAGGATAGGAATTGTCTACCTGTGGGAGAATCCTAAATGACCCCCCCACTACCCACCTGGAATGGGAGTCATAGCAGTTAACAAGCAATCACAGCAAACAGTGACAAAGAGCACACGGATGTTAAGTCTAGTGGGTAAATCTCGCAGTAGTGATTCTGATGTACCCATCTCCATACTGTGTGCTCCCATCAGGGACACAGGCAACTCTTCCTTCTTGGATGTTTTGCCCATCAGACTACAGGCTTCTTTTAGAGAAGGCATTTATAAAACTTGACAATACTCTCCCAACAGCAGTTGCTCCACAGGGAAGAGCAGGACTGACTAGATGGGCATAATTACTTTGAAGCATTGGTGAGTCTGACTTAAGATGACTTCAGACTCTAGAGGCAAAACAAGAGAACTCTTATTCCAGAGAGTTTTCATCAGGAATTTCATGATGCAGAACTGATGGATGTCACTCGGTACTAGGGGACATTGACCATGAGGTAGAAGATATAAGGTTTTTCTACTTGAAAGCCAAGGAATATTTCTAGATTGTAACATCTCTATAATGAAGGCAAAATTTTATGGGGGATCATTTTCCAATTAAGAAAGCCTGAAACTTCTAAATTTAATCATCCCTGCATTTTCTCCTTTTATATTTTACTTTGTGTTTCCAAGTTATGCTTATTGATGAATGATGGAGGTACTGATAGGTGGACTCATATATATATATATATGTATATATATATATGTGCATATCTATATATATACCCATGTGCACATATATATATACACACACATACACACATATATATATATACACCCAGTTATTGTGAAAAAATTAGCGAAAGATGGGTGTATATGTACCAGTAGGCAATTTTTACTTAAATCAATCTACAAAATGTACCTTAAAAAAGTAGTAAAAAGTAGCTGAGAAATCAGACATAAAAATCACATAATAGCCAGGAATCCAGGAATCAAGCAGAATCCAATGGATGTGGATCAAGATTTGTTGAAGAAAGTAGTGTCCTTTCCCTGTATTTTCACCGCTGTGAAGAAGGCAGGTATAGCACCAATAGAGTGAGCCAAGCCTTTCGGATTTGTAAGACCTGAAAGCAGGGTCTTGGCTAAATTCTAAAAAGTGTCCAGTACAGCAGCTTAGCTCCAGTTTAGAAAGACAAACTCTGAGACAGTTTAAAAAACCATGAGCAGGAAAAGAGCCAAGTGTAAAGGTGTTCAAAGTTTATAATCAGTGGTAGAGTATTGGGCACCCCAAAAGTCAGAGCTTTTATAAGCCTCGATGGGCCAGGCGCTCTGCTAATAAGCACTTTTTATTGACTTCCTCATTGCCTTTGTAATAACCCCATGTACTACATACTATTAAATGTTCCCTTTTCATAGATAAGGACATTGAGACAGAAAGATTAAGTAATTTATCCAAAGTCACCCAGCTATTAGATAGCTCAAGAGTGCAAGAAACTATGCAGGCTGGGCCTGCAACCTGAACTCTTAACCAGTTGGCTCTATGCCTAGAGGGCAGGAGATATTGGTAAAGAGGGGATCCCATATGACCTGTGTGCTTTGGCATCTGGCAAACTTTGTGCTGAATATCAGAAAAGAACCTTTTATACAGGTTTAGTCCATGTTACTAAGTATAGTCTCCATGGAATTCTTAATTTCCTTACACACTTTTCTTTTTCACACTGAACTGGCTGTACTTAGAAACCAAAGCATGATGCTAAGGTTAAAAGTCAGCGTGGAGATACAGCGACAGGGCACTGGCTGAGAGAGTCAGGTTTAGATTATAGTCTCTTCTCTGCCACTAACTCACCATGTGAATGTGGGCTAAATCCTTTGTCCTCAGGAAAACTGAAGCTTAATCATGTCTAAGGCCATATTAAATCCTGCAATGTGATGACCTGGACAAGCATTTTCAATGAATTAGTAACATTTACAATTACTTGCATCATCAGCTAATCTGACTTTCTATTTTTGCATATGACCTGTGCATATATATTTATGGCTTGCCCTTTGGATTTCAAAGTGAACATTAAAAAAATAGGTCACGACAGGCATGCATGCAAATGCCACGTACGATTTTCTTATCGTATGACTCTCCACTGCTGTAGGTGGTGGCCAGTGTGGATGAACATTCTTCCAGGTACCAAGGTTTCTTTCCACTTTCTGCTGTGCTGCTGATGGAGATGGTGTAGATGCTGTTGGTGTAGCCATCACAGGAGCAGTGGTCTTTGCTCCTTCCGCCATTTCCAGACGCCCAGACAAACACAGAGCCAAGGCCTCTCCGCCCCTGTTTGCAAACAGAGAAAGCTAAATGATGGTCTGAAAAGACGAGGATCACAGGCACTAAATAAAGAGGAGATCAAGATAGGAGATCAGGATAACAGGACAAAGTTGAATACCTGCAGAAGGGATGCAGTGTTATTTTAATAAGCTGGGCTTACGATGCTTTTGAAGAGTTATTTTTATAAACTAAAACAGTCACCCAAGTAACAAGCACACCAATGATGACAATGATAATGGCTAATATCTATGGACTGAGCGCAATTCTAAATGCTTGACATGAAATGGACTGAATCTTTCAACAACCCTTTGAGACTGGTGCCATTTTTGTCCCCATTATGCAGATGAGAAATTGAGGAACTTAAGTGTAGAGAGGCTAGGCATCTGTGTTGCATCACATAGTCAGTGGGCAGCAGAAGCAGGTACTGACCAGGTATTTACTTCTGGAACCTACCTCCCCTATGCATGGTGTGGACACTCAGTATGAAGGGATGTTAATGGATGCCACCATAAATAAAGGTTTTCAAGATCACATATGTTTGGGAACCCCTTAGTTATACAAAATTAAATAAGCTTCCTTATTGTAAAACCTCTATGACCCTTTAGTGAGTGAGTGATCACTGCAAAATTCTAAGAGCAGGATAGAGTCTAAAGCAATTTCCAAACATATTTGATCACAGATACCTTCTTCAATCAGATCCATTAACTTTTTTTTACAATGCTGGGAGATGAAGTCACATTCTTTATGCTAAAACTTAGTAGCTAAAAGTCAAACAGTTAAAATACTTTCCTATGGTCCTAAATAATCAAGGGATAGAAGCAAAGTAGAATACAGACTTATGAAATATAGTGACTAATTCTCTAAGAGGAGGTCTTCAGAAGAAAACAGAGAAATAAGCCAAAGTGAAGAGTATTTCTGGGAATAGTTATAGATGAATCTCTAAGAAATTTTACCACTTTAAAGCTAGAATGCATGTTGTAGGATGTCTAGGCCAAATCTTATCATTTAGTAATTAGGAAGTAAAAACCAAAGCCATATAGTTGGTGATTGCTGAGCCTCTTTCTTCCCTCCAGGCCCTAACTTTCTGGTCATAGGTGGAAGGAAAAGTGTTTGGGATGTTGTCTTAGAATTTCTAGAAAAAGAGACAAAGAAAAAGAGACAACAAAGAATCTAGGGTATCCATGATAAACTCTCCCTGGCCTTGAATCTTGAAGAAACAGAATGAATATTTATGACATGATTTGATAGATGTGAACATAGCTTTCCTTTTGTCCTTCAACTTGGAAAAATGCAATATGATTACATAGGAACAGGAAAAATTCATGGAGAGAGACAAGTATGACCTTCCAGTTGCTGTGGCCATAAATAGCTGGGCCTGGTTTACCATCCCCCCTTCATCTTTCCATCAGAATATTCATGAAACACAAAGGACACAAAAATCATGAAGCCATCACAAACTAAGAATCTTGTTTAATTCTTTGTCAATCTCTAGGAAGAATTATGCCTCACTGTGGTATGGGTGGTCGGACTGAGAAACCTTGGTGACTGACTCATATCTAGGCCTCAGAGACAAAATGACATAGCCAGAGAACGAGAATGTTCCAGTCTATCATAAAATACATCCCTCCATACATCCCCTAAATGGACACTGAGAGGCTATGTTTTGGGCGAAAAGCATGGTCACAATCACATTGGGCCTTACCTGACAGGTGAACAGAACACGAGAGATGGCACACCCACCTGGTTTAAACAGCATCGTAACAGATGATAAAGAACCGCAAAGCAATGAAAAAGCACAAACGGTACAATCACATGTGTAAATCTATGCAAAGTTATGGACTGTGTGCCTATGTATAAATTCAGTTAAAAGATCTTTAAAAAGCAATTTGATTTTAGAGAATATTTAATAAAATAAAAGCAGGAAGTTCTTTTGTGTTCATGATGTAGTTACAAATGTAGGATGTGAAGTGATAAAGTATGATATCAGTTTAGGAAAAGAGTGTGCGTGTTATGTGTGTGTGTATATAAAGAAGTCTATGGGTATAAAGTTAGACATGTAAAGCCACCATAAAGTGACAACATAATAGACATCCTGTTTGGTTAAGTTTAGGAAAGATTTTTATTTTCTTTTTTATATCAACCTTCTCTGACCATGTACTACTTATAAAAGTAGAAACAAACAAATTAATTCCTCTATTAAGAGGGAAAATACAAGGCCAATTCTTAAGAGATAATTTTTTATGTTATGATCAAAAGAGGTTTTTACCCATAGAAGGTCCACTGTGTTCTAAAAACAACACAGCCTAACATTTCTAGAAACTTGCTGCATGCCAAGCACTAGGCAAACATTATTCTGCACAATCCGAGCCCATATCCTCATCCTTTTACAGATGAGCAAACTGGGTCTCAGAAATGCTCACTAATGCCAGAGCCAGACTGAAATCTCTAAGTGCCAAAGCTTGAGCTATTAGCCCTTACGACAACAGCTTCTTTTGGACAAAAAGAGGGCTCGCGGTTATTGCATTGTTTTCAGCTAAATCTCCTGTGCTTTTGTTGAAACTTGGTATTAGGATCTAGGAGGAGACTGAGTTCTTTCCAGACTTGGTAGGAGAATTAGAACTGATACCGAATCAGAACCACAGACGGGCTCCCCCTAGAAGTATGAACACAAGTCGTTCTATTCTGGCAGCACCCATAGCTGACACTATTAAGGAGGACAATGACATTGCCTAGGGGTCCTCTGGGGCTCCACTGGGTTGAGAGAGCCTTGGGTTAAGAGGACAGCAGATCATTACTACTGCCCTAAAAATGTCCCTTCAAGACAGAGGCGATGTCCTTGTATTATACTCACAGTTTGAGGGAATTCTTTTATAACCAAGCATGGTGAAGGGAAATCCTAAAGGACAGTGTGGGGTCAACAACACTCCCAGGCCTGAGCTGCACGGGGAGATGGGAGTCATTGGAGCTGAGACAGACAGGCGAACAGGAGTTGGTCAGGGGACACACTAACTCACTGTGACCATGCAGGGAGGGGGACAGGTGAACACATACTGAGCCCTCAATCTCCTCTGGCGACAATCTTGTGTCTTGCCAGTAAACTCTATTGGTCAAACCCCACAAGAAGCCCATGAACCTGGGAGTCCACAGGCAGAGGCCATAGAGAGCAGTGTCACTATACACAGAGCCCATGGAGAGAGACCTTAAGGGTTAAAGAGGAGACATTCACAATAGTCCTTAAAGTGCATGAAGGACTGAGTTGTGTTCCCCCCAGTTCATATGTTGAAGCCTCAAAACCCAATGTGACTATATTTGGAGACAGGGTTTTTAACGAGGCAATTAAGGTTAAATGAGGTCATAAATGCAGGGCTCTAATCCGATAGGACTGGTGTCCATATGAAAAGAGGAAGAGAAGAGCTCTCTCTCTCTCTCTCTCCCCCTCCCTCCTTCCCTCCCTCTCTCTCTCTCTCTCTCTCTCTCTCTCTCTCTCAGTGTGGGCACAGGGAATAGTCCACGTGAGGGCATAGCGAAAGAAGGGGCTGTCTGCAAGCTGTGGAGAGAGGCTACCCCAGGCTCCAGCTCTGCTGCCACCTTGATCTTAAACTTTCAGTCTTCCAATCTCTAGAACTTTAGGAAAATAAATTCTGTTGTTTAAGCCGCCCAGTCTGTGGTGTTCTGTTGCGGCAGCCGGAGCTAACTAACATAAAGAGACAGGAGGAGATAAACACGGCCTGCCCCCACTGGATTCCGCAGTTCTGATGTAGGGTACACAGAAGCTGCTGCCCTGTTACCCACGAGGCAATCCGACCTCTATGCTCATGCGTGTGGTTTATGATTAAAGTTCCAGGAATAAACAGACTGAATTTGTGGGCTAACAATGCCATATAGACAGCTGCTGATGATCTATGGGGTTAATGGGAAACAATTAACAATTCACACATTTATTTACTACAGATGCATAGGGGGTTTTCATAGTGTGAAACATCCGGAAACCAAAGCACATGTGAAAAAAACATCCAATATACAGAGTAATTTAAGAATTGAACGTTAATGTGGGGTGAAGGCAGCAGGGAGGGTGGGCAGAGTACTAAAAAGAGAAAAGAATCTTGAGGCAAATATTTTCCCTAAGCATAGGAAATAATGTCATTTTTTAGCTTGGTGAATATTGTGACTACAATTGGTTATTTAAATATGGCTTTGTATGGCACACACACACACACAAATAAATCCCTTCAGCTTAATTGAGTGCTAAGTTAAAAGTTAATAAACTTAAGGTAAAATATATTATGAAATCTATGCAGGATCCATTTGACCAAACTGTAAATATTTCCTTTGTGCATTAAATGTGCATGTGTTTTTCCTCACATATGCCCTAAAAAAATCAATTTATATTACCCTATAAGCATTATTATTAAAGGATAGAAAGGGAGTGGACTTTCTTATAGCTCAGGAGGTCAGAAAAGGCCACTTTATGCTGGATTACCAATTAAATCACACACCCCGAGCTAGCTTTTGAGAGCTGTAGAGTATGATGAAACTAAATTTCTTTCTTTAAAACAGTGTGATTATTTTTTAGCCAGTGCAGTTAGGTTTTATTTGGTATTTTAATATTACTTTGTTCTTCTGTATTGCTTAGAAAATATTCTTAAAGGGCCATGAATAAACAGGAGGTATCTTGTGATATAAAAAGGAGGAAGAAAGATAATTACATATATTAATATGTGGCTAGATACCATGCTGGACACTTTCATATATTATTAGTCAATTTACAGCAACACCAGCAAGATATTATATTATAGTATATGGATTTGTACAGATTAGAAAACTGAGAAACATTAATATGCCCAGTATCATATTAATAGAATGTGGTGGAGACAAGCGGTAGACACCTTAGATCTGACCATAACCTACGTATCTCTATATGTCAACATGCAGAGGCACAAGAAAACTACTTTAGAATGAGGAACTTTCATTTCTCTGTAATGTTTTCTAAGCACGGCCTCTTTCAA